AAATCTGCTGGAGCCAAATCTGGCGAATATGGAGGATGATGAAGGCCTGTGATCCCTTTTCTGGCCAAAAATCTTGCATGATCTTCGATTTGTGGGGTGGGGCATTGTTGTGGAGGAGCAACCAGGAACCTTGCTCTCGATATTCAGGTCGAATTGTAAGAATTCAAGCCCACACACAATTGAGGACTCCAACATAACAATCAGAATTCACTGTTTGACCTTCTGGCAGAAATTCCTTGTGAATGATTCCTTTGGAATCAAAGAAAATGGTTAGCAGTGTCTTTACTCGACTCTTTTGCATGTGCACTTTCTTTGGTTTCGGCTTCTTTGGGCTCGACCACGCTGCACTCTGCCACTTTGTGAGAGGCTCATATTGAAAACACCATATCTCATCACCAGTAACAATCGATTTTGTAAATTTTGTATCACTTTGGGCTGACCGTAACATGTCTTTGCAGTGTTCAATTCTGGCATGTTTTTCATCGCCTGACAGCGCGTGTGGTACAAACCGCGCACAGACCTTCCACTTGTCCAAATCCTCAGTCAAATTGATGCACAGTACTTTTTGGTATTTGCAAAAGCTGCCCGATGAGTCTTGCAGAAACAAATATGTCTGATGCAAGGATTTCGGTAACTTTTTTTTCACATTTTCTTCAGTGCGAATTGTTCTCGGCTTTGATGCATGTGGAGCATGTTCAATGTCCTCCCTGCCATCACGAAATACTGCATACCATCGAAAAATGTTCAAGTGACTCAATCACTACCATACACACTTTTCATCATTTCGTACACTTCTCCGGCTGTTTTGCCTAACTTCAAACAAAATTTGATGTTGGCTCTCTGTTCAACCACTGTTTTCCGACAAGCGTCCGAACAGTACTGTTACATTCAAGGTCAGAACACATGATTCAGCGATGCTTGCACTTTGAAATTATAGACAGCCAAAGCTGAAACTTCAAGAATCTTAACACCACAACTTGCCAACAGATCGCATGCAGAGCAAAATTTAAAAAAATGAGTCTTAATGGATCCTGGACACACTGTGTATACATGGATGCCAACAGAGAGGTAAGGCTAGGCATGAGATCCCCTCTGGGTTTTTGGAAAAAGCGAAATTAAAAAAGAAGAAATATAACAAATATTACCAGAAATTAAAATTATTTTGAATACAATTTAATCATCTGTTCTAAATACTTCAGGGTGATCCATAAAAATATTCTTAAACAGCTTGAACATAAGTTCGCAAGGAAATTTTATTCCCCCCCTCCCCAAAAGAAAAAGTCCTGGTAGCACCTAGACATTCATTAACTTTACCATCATTCATAACTCTAAAAGGAGATAAACATACTTATTTTCATCCCTAGGACCCCCATACACACACAGTTTGTCCTCCCATTCGGCCTGCACAGTTGAAGACTGAAAGGCAAAACTCATGTGTGTAGTGCGGCCAGCCGGCCAATCGTTTGGGCTGTTGGACTGTATGAAACCCGTCAGTTCTACCTGTAGGACATAGCACGTGACAGGTGGAATGCATGTGTGTAACAATACTGGCAGGCCAGTCACTCAGTTGCTGCTGCTGTCTCGTGTTCTTCAGTACTGTTTCACATTGTGTGTCATTTCTTAAGAACATGGTATTTTGAAACTTGCACCATAATTTTGTAGTTTGTGCTATGGCGACATGGTCGAAGGACTTTTTACTGGAATGTGTTGAAGAATTTCGTGGTCATCCTTCTATTTCAAAGGTCAAGAGCAAAGAATACCACAACCGTGAGATGAAAGAGAGTGCTATTCAACATTGACGGAAAAAGTTAAAACAATTGATCCCCAAGCTAACAAGGAAACTGTGATATGTATGTAATTGCCGTCTTGTAGTGCACTCATTTCATATGTCACTTCTTATTACATGTTTCGGCAACATAGTGCCTTCTTCAGGTTCGTTATTTGCGCTAAGTTATTACATTGTTTGCCATCTTGTGTCTTTCATAAAATTATTTAGAAAGTACATTGTTCATCAACTATAATAAAATTTGTATATACTAAAACTTGTTAAGATTATTCATCCATATGTCTTAATTCAAACTCGCGTATAGTATGGTTCGTCCACTATGGGAGTCATTTCTATGTGTACTGTGTCTGTGATGTGTCCTTCCTTTTTGGCTCGCAGTGAGCCATTACATACATATCCTGGATGAAAACCAGTGCAACAGGACGCTAAAATACAACATTAAGGAAACTGTGTTTAAAAAGATCAATAATCTGCATAGCAGTTTCAGAAAGGAACAGAAGAAAGTATTGATGGTTAAGAAATCTGGAATCAGTAGCAAAGACCTCTATGTCCCAGAATTGTGGTACTGTGACTGTGGCATGCAGCCCGCTGGTTTATCTGTGCGTGTATGGGGAAAGAAAGGGAGAGGGAAAACTAAAAGTTTTGCCTGTAAGGTTGATCGGAAGGCCAAACTGTGTGTATATGGGGGGCCTTAGAAAGGCCTTCATTTATGTATAATATAATTGCATATTTCACCACTGATTAATGAAGATTTAATTGTGTGTGAAAGGAATTATTGATTGTTCCCTTTTATTTTTGGCCACATCTGACAGTAACAACTTACAGTCCTTGGTCTGTCTAACATAAATCACTGTCAGTTAATGCTTAAATTTCTGATTACTCTCTTTGGTTGATTCATCATTAATCAATGACATAAGTTATGTTTTGACTTTAGAATTCAAAATTTAACCTCACATGTGACATATAATACTGTGTTTATGACTTCCTGTTATCATTTCTTGTGGTTCTCACTCTGTCCATTGCTGTTTCCCTGTGTTGTGTATTTTGAGGGCACCCTACATCAACTCTTTCAGTGTTCAGGATCTATATTATATATTCATTTTTCATTTACTTATATAGTGGTTTATATCTTTTATGTTACAGTATTTTTCAGTTTATCAAGTGATTCTTCCAATTCATTGTGCAGGATTTGACACATAAGTGACTATGAAGGTAACTCTGTTCTGGAATGTGACCCGATGTTGTTTGGTACACTGTTCTGCCTTGAAGATGGAGAAAGTACATTCCTCCGAAACATCAGTGTCACATCCAAGAATAGTAATCTTCATTGCAGTTAATTAAATGTAGAATTTGTATGTAATCGTTTGGCATTCCTAATTGCAATATAAATAAGAGATGGTACTAGATATGTGGTCTGACAATGACTATAATTTTTTGTAGTAAAAAGATTATGTCACAAACCTTTAGTCAGTGCCGTCAACTTAAGATTTACTTGCCTGATTTTATACAGGTGTCTCAACATCTGTGCCATTGCTGGAAAAAATCGTCTGGAAATTCTTTCATTACTGTCATATTTCCCAGAATTCTTTCAAGTTATTCATAATGAGAATCATTCATTAAGGTTTATAGTTTCAGGAACACTAACAGTCACATAGGACAGAATCAGGGAGGTATGGCAGATGTGTTTTTTGTTTGCTGGTTAAGAATCCCCCTACAAAAAGCTCTATTAGAGAAAGCAATTTGTTTTGATGTAAACTCTACATTTCCAGTCAAAGATTTGATCTTTTTGAATAAATTCTCTATAGTAAATGTTCCCAAAGTTGAAGGTAAAATTCTTGCTTGTCTCTTCGTTTTGGAGGAACAATTTAATAATGGATAATTCCTTTGATATTGAGGAAACAGATCAGCATAAATTTGTCACTTGAGCTTGACATTTGTCCCACCCTTCCAGGTGGGGGCTCAGGACTCTTCCGTTATAGGTTTTGTTTTGGGTCATTCCAACTAGATGTTCTTTTTTGCATAAGGTTTGGTTTTTCCAAGAAGCTCTCTTAAAGATCTCAGCAAATGTATGTTCCCATTTTGCTGCCACTGAGCTTGTTTCGTACTGTTTAGACGCAGACTCTTCATGTTCATTTATGTGCTAAAAATCGGCCTCACCTTTTCTGTTGTTTTCATTTCTTCTGCTGTCTTCTGAACAGCCAAGTGATGATTATTTCTCACCATTTAAGTTACTTTTTCTATGCATATCTGTTCATTAAGTTGCTGGATAGGCATATTGTTCATTGACTGTAACATCTTACCTTCTCTCTTAAAATCACCCAACCCCCACAGAAACATGTGTTTTGGTAAACAAAATATTGTGGTAATGAAATGTTTACTGCAACCACAAAGCAAGCTGGATGGATCCAAACAGTCATATGACACAGAACTGCTGAATCATGTTGAGATATGATCCATCATGTGCCTACTCTCCATTGGTTTGGATGCTGTACAGAGACATCACTCCTGTTATTTAACTGTCAGATTTATATTTGCTGCAGTGATACTATGCATGTATTTTCATACCTGAAAACAGAAGTGATATCAATCATATGATTTTTCTCTGAAATCTGTACCTGTCTGAAATGTCTCTTATAGTTGAAAATTTGCTGGTGTACATATCACGGGATAATCCAGTACATAAATTTATTCTTGCAAGATTTAATCCATAATAATATATTACCAAGTGCTGAAGTACATTACTGTTGCAAGTCTCTCTGGTCAGAGAGTATCTCTTAATTTTGGCTACTGAAGTAAGTCATATCAGCTTTTGTGCACCATGATATATTTAGATGCCTACAGCATTGTCCTCCCTTACTCATTTCCATTCTTGTTTCAGTTAACATGGGGACTAATGACTGGAAGATGTTGACTCACTTTTGTGTTCAGATAATCTTTTAATTTTTCTTTCTTTCAATTCCCTTCTTATCCTGATATCTTTCATATTGCTTGTAATACCTTATACAGTTTAATGCCAGATTTTTCCTATATTAAAACCAGTTATATATTTTAGACACACTTCTGAAATTAGACTTCAGAGTGTGTTATTAGACTCCTGACATTTAAATGTCAAAAATCATGACAGCTTTCTGATTCATTATTTACTGAATATTAGATTTTAAAAGAACCATTCAATGTACTTAATCAGATTATAATTTCATAATTTTTATTACAGGCTGTGGAAGTAAACAGTCGGCGTTTGTTTAGTGAGTCCAATATTGGTGGTCATGATTATCTACGCAATATGGTGCACCTGCCATTCTATCTGCAAAACTCTGGCTTGCGTAAAGTGAAAGTTGCACAACAGACTGCTCAGCATCACAGGAAGAGTAATACAGCTGCTGCTGCCACCTGGAATGAGAATGAAGAGAGTGTCAGTTTAGCTGCAACAAGTGCCCTTTCTACGGTACAAGAAAATTATGCCTTATGAACCTCACAGTGAAAACACTGCTTAGAACAGTGTTATGCTAATCCCTAACATTTTATGCTTATATAATCCTTCAGCTTGAAACACTCAGTAGACAGGAGCTTCAGTTATGCCATTTAGGATACGTTGTCCAGGTTGAAGTCTTTTTAAAAGGTTCATGGTGTGTCAATAGTTAAGAGGATTAATTTTTGGTATCTCAAAAATCAATAAATTATATTGAAATTTTCACAGTTTATAAAGTTGTACATACAGAAATTCAGAGTACCAAATTACTGCAGTATATAAACTTGTTTTGTTCATTTTTGTGGCACTAGCCAGGTCATATTTGGACAGTGGAATGTTTTCTCTTACACAGCCAATGGCATTATTGTACATCCCTACGGTGACTAATGTTTTTCTGTGCTCCTTTGTGGTCAAAATGAGGAAATCTCCAAAGTGTTTATTCTCTCTCTCATCTAAATTCGCAGGTCTCAGGTCGGAGAATGTCTTCAGAATCAGGTCTGAGTAGTTCAGAAAAACTAAAGCCAACATCTCGGAAAGGTTCTCGAAAATTAAAACTGAGTGAGAGCATTGCTAGCAGCTTGGGTAGTAATTTGAACCGTGTGGGTGGAGCCCATGATCTCACCAAGATGTTGTTAACAGATGACTACTTTAGTGATGTGAATCCACGTAGCATGAGAAGACTCATGAATGTTGTGTATATAACAGGTAAGTGTTAGCAAAGTATTGGATTATAATTATAGTGAGCTGTGATTACTTTTGTTTTGATACTGTTGTCTTTGAAAGTCTTCGTTAGATAACTCAGAAAATTTACTAAGTAATTTAGAAGATATTGGGAAGGACATAAGATTTGATAAGTCATGGAAATGTTAAATAATCTGAGATTACTCACATAAATTGTTGTTTCAGAATAAAATTGTAACTTTTAACAAATGCAGTTACATATGATGTTAACAAAGGAGTACTGTAATTTTTGTAGAACTGAATAACAAACTTGCAGGAAATAATAAATTGTAAACTGAAGTTCAGTTTACTGTAAGCAGGCCACATGTGGGCACCCCCTCCAGAGCCCCAGCATCTCTCCATTGTTATATATGTCTGTGGTGTATTTGTCCTACCATCAGTCCCCTGTTTCAATTTCAGGCAGTAATATTAAAGAAAAAATTGGCTAATGGCACACTTTAAATCTCTCAGATAAATAGAGTAACATGACAATCATGCAAAATACTAAGGTGGCAGCACCACTATCATCAGTGAGTGTTTAGCTTGGAGATTTTCTATGATGTTAGATCTTTTAAGAGATAGGCAAAGATTAATAAATTAGAATATTGGAACAAAGGTAACAAATTTTGATCGAACAACAGTTACAAGGTGTTGAATTGTTGTAATTTATATGGAGACATTATAAATACATCTACATATTATATGTGGGATACTTGTCTTTGGTTGTTATTTTGTGGAAATGGTAAAATTGTAGAATCTTGGAAAAGTTGATCAGGTTTGTCTTTGGGCATGTGATTACATTTTTTATCTTAATATCACAGAAAATAAAGTTTTGGATCAGTTATTTTATGGAGTATGTTATAGAAAAGTATATGATTTAAACCTGCAAGAATTAAAATTCTTTGGAAATTTGAGATGTACATGGGCACAATGAATACTTTTAATGTTTACTAAATGCAGTGAGGGCTGTATCATGGTGTCTCACAGAAGGAAAATGTGTTGAAACAATAGCAGATACTCTTCAGTTTTATCAGACAATTTGCTGAATAATATTTATACTTTTATAGTACTGTGTATTTCTGTATTTCAGGCCGTTTACTGAAAGCATTTCAGATTGATTTCAATTGGTATCATTTAGCAAGTTGGGTGAACATTACTGAACAGTGGCCATTTAGAACATCATGGATCATTCTTTATTATGATATGTATGAGGATACATTTGATGACAATACCTCACTGAAATCTATGTACGACAAGTAAGTGTGTTTTTTGTTGTTGTACTTTTGTACTTTCTCCCCTCCAAAAATATCTGCACAGCTCTGTAATAGTAGGTTAAGACAGTGCCAAATTCTCATAACAGTGCCTTGAAATAAAATAAAACCTTTGCCACATAGACAGTTTCATAACTAAAATATATGAGCGAGAAGCAGTAACTAGGTCACAAATGGATATAGAACATAAAACATATGAGATTTGAACCCAGAAAAAAAATTTATTTCGTGATAACCTCCACCAGCATTGATACAGTTGTCCCATTGCTTGACCAGAGCATTGAAACCCGCAGCAGAGTCTTCTTTTGACCGTTGTCTCAGCCACTTCCGCACCTCTGTTTCAACCTCTTCATCATCAGCTAAAGTTTTTCCACCAAGGTGGCAATTTCTAAACCCAGTTGTGAACCACTTTACATGACAGACATTTCCCACAATAGACAGGAAACATTTCTCTATGAGTATCCTTTGCAGTGAGTCCTTTTGCACACAAAACACAGCGCTGCTGTTTGGTAAGACACCCCTCAAGTACAGTTGCCATTTTGACTACTGAAATCAACCTCTAAATATCCGCATCTGATACCTAGACACCCGTGATGCTGGACTGTGCTGCTACCTAGTGATACACATAGAAAATGTGTTACATCCATTACAGCTGTTTTACTTCAATTTTTTATCTATTTACTGGCCCTCCCTCATAATATGTCATTTTAACAAGGTATGTAGGCCAGAAAGTTGCTGGTAATTCGCTTGAACTACAAACTATATAATAACATGAAGTTCCATTACATTGTAGACATTTCATATGGTTCCTTACAGAGAAGAGTAAATGGAAACACTTTTCTAAAATTTGGTTGTCTAGATGCTTTAATTTTCTCAACACTTTTAACCATTGAAGTTAATTTTGAAACTAGATACTGTAAAATTAATCTATCCCATTTGTAATTAAGTGCACAGCTGACTTTTAACATTCAGATGTACACTTTTAAACTCAGAATGATTATATCATACATTAAATTCAATTGTTTATCTCTAGAATTAAATCCTTGAAGCTGATATTTAATATTTTTGGAGACTGTAACTGATTATATGTGTATTGATCCCACTGATTTTGACTTGTTATACTTGTACACAGAGTTCGTCCCCAGATTCCAGTACTAAAAGATGTGGAACCTTTGCTGGAACTTGACAGAGATGAACGAAAATTCGATGTTTTCCTGACATTCCATCGGAATAGTTTGTTAGTTAGTGACCTGAAGATTTTCCTACCATTTACCATCAATCTGGATCCATATATAAAGAAAGTTATCAAAGGTGAGAATATAATAAGTTTTCAGATTTCCGATTGAAGATAAGTCTGCTGGGTCCTTTGGCCACACACTGTATGATAAAGATGTTCTTGTATGGAAGTGGCTTTTAGTGTACAATGCTACGTGAACAGAACTATGGAATACTGGTCATGTTGCGTCTACCATGACATTCCAGCTCTTGGACACTCAGTATTCAGAGAAAGTATAGTAAAGAGAGTACAAGAGTCACTCATTAATTCAGATGACCTATGAAATATACCTCTTAAAATTTAGTTTAATTTGTCTCTCTCTTTTATGTATACAAGCCATTCTCATAAATGTCCATCTTATATCTTAGTTTAGGGCTTTCATCAGTAATTTGTGAGGACGAAAGAATTCTGTGGAGAGTTTTGGAAGAAAACTCCACCCCTTTTTTTAAGAGGGGGAGAGGAAGTTAATTTGGATTTGAGCAGGATGGACATTTAATCCTGTTATTGCCAGCCAAAAATATGACATGAAAAATATTCCATTGAATTCTTCTTGAATTTTTGAAATTTTTATTCGAATTTAATTTCTTGAATTTTATTTGATCAAGAATGACTAGCATTACATTTCAGCATTACCAGAAGATAAATGTGTGATGTGGACCAGCATGCCATATACAGATCTGACTGACTCTGGCACTCTGCAAATTTAACCTCAATATAGGTGACCTTTGCATTATACAGGCTTTAACTATAAATTATCTCACTATGGCTTTTCCAAGTAGTTTGATTTTACATACATATTAAGCTTAACTCTTGTGATGTAACCATGTAGAATACCCAGATACCGACTATGAATGTATGCCCCTAAGTGGACAGTGACCGGAAGGTTGAATAGAGCACACCTGAAGGCTCTAGAAGCCAACCATAGATTCACATTTTGATATTTTATTTTTCTATTTAGTTTTTAAACAGGGCGCATCACCCATCACCCAGATTTACATTGCTTTTTAGTGTATAAGAGTTCCTGTCTTACTTTACATGTTAATTCATCATTGTTGGTACATATTAAAAATGTGTGTCTACCTCTTGATAGTCTTAATAATTTGTTCTTTATCTCCAGGATTTCTGAGGGGTTGATACAAGTTTAAACAGTTTGTTTAAGATGTATGAAAATTAAAAGTTTTCACAATTGACTTTGCAGAAGAACAGCAGAGTTTGGATGAGGCTGGAGGTGTTATAATCAGCTCTCAGTTCACAGCCTCACCTCCTCCTGCTCCTGCATTGGTTCCACCTCCAGCTCAGACATGGGGAACATCAAATTCCTCAGGTCCTTGGTCTGGTCACAAATCTTCACTTATAAGGAGACAGGTATCTTTGTTATGACCTAAATTTGTTTTTCATATGGCCATCCTTGGTGGCTCTTTTAAACACAATAATGAACCTTTGTGATCTATAAAAAGTGAATAATTTCTTGAGTGGCTGAGTGACTGTTAGTTTCACTAGGATTCTGCTCCATATAGTTAACTAACTAACTATGGGCATGTGATAGTAGACACTTTTGTCTGTGAATGACATGATTGTAGATATTGTCATGTCATTTAATGGGACTGTAGATGGGTTCTGGAGTGATGATTAGGTTAATTGGACTCTTTGATACAGTGCATGAGTGCACTTTACAATTCACTACTACTACTATTAATACAACACATGCATGCATACCATGCACTCACACACACACACACACACACACACACACACAGAATCTTGTTTTCACTAGCCATTGCTTGGTAGTGGCTCCCAACATCAGAATTTCGCCTTCCTCTGGGTTCCTGAACTATTCCCGGCCTCAGCAGGCAGCTTCTAATAGTAACAGCTAGGCTGCGCCATAGGTCAAGCAGTTAGTTGCTGGCTTCCCACCGTGGCAGCCCCGGTTCGATCCCGGGTCTGGTCAAGTGGGATTTGTGGTGGACAAAATAGCGCTGAGGCGGGTTTCCCGGTTTCCCCTGCCAATCTTCATTCCACCAAATTCTCCATCATCATAATCACCCAGAACAGGTACAATAGGCCAATCAGGGGCCACCATGCCGAGTGGACCCAGCTGGACTCCACCCCCCCACTAGCGAAAAAAAAAATAGTAATAGCTCACAACAGCTGAACCTCAGCAGTTCATTAACTGACTGACTCAGTCACTCAGCAACCCACTCTTCCACTCTTCACTAACTCTTCTCAACTCAACTGACTGACTGACTGAACTGACTGTTCTGCTTATAACAACTCAGTATGGATCAGCGTTTCCTAGTAACAGCCATTGTCTAGTTGTTTGTTTTGCAGTCGTTGCCTAGCAACAAGTCTACATGCCACAAAATGTTGTCATTGAATGTGCATCTTGGTTCATATTTTGTATAGTATACATACATGTGGCTAAATCTTGAAACAGTTGCCATTTGGCTTCATGGAAGTGATAACATTCTGTCCTTTTTATGGGAAGAATCATAATGATATTGATATGGAAGAATTTGATAATACATCTGTTAGAAGAAGCACCACAGGATTTGTCACAAAGAGAAAAACAGAACCAAAATTTTTAACTTTCATTTTTCATAAAATTTTTCCTTCCCATCTCCGTGTTACCAGGGTTAAATTCATGTATGATCACATACAGTCATTTCACTGTTCTCATTAACTTCATTGCCCATAGTGTCTGTGATTTCATATCCTGTAATGCCAGAGTTCTCTACCTCTTTCTAATCACCACAGCAGCACAATACTCGTCACCTCTACTCACGACACACAGCAATCCACTGCCCTAATCATCATCTGTCAGTGACATCCTTGGTGAAGATTTTTATCTTCCCTCTATGATCCTCACTAAAGCCTGCATGTTACTTTGCCTGAGGTATCTGTCAGAGGACTGAATATGGGTTCACCATGACCATTCATCAGAATCCTATGCAATATCCATCTTATTGCTTGAATGAATGAATGAGTGAATGCATGCATAAGGGGCAGGCCTAGACTGGCCCTTGAACAGCGACCTTCAATGAATTGTTGTGCATCCCCCTGTATTTCAAACCTTCAACAACAATCTTACTTTTGAATGAAGTGCAGTATCTTGGTAGTCAGCTGGCTGTTGATAAAATCTTAAGTAAACTACAGCCTAACAGTCACATAGGAGGTGTGTGGCTGATTTATCTTTTTCTAGGCACCTTTTCTCAAATGAGAGTATTTGCCAGTCTCATTTTGAAGAGATGTCCTTTCAGATGACAGTATCTTGATAGTAGCCCTGTCACCCACCATAACTGGTTTCTCTTTAGTTTTAACAGTTCCTTGGTTCTTGTGACAGAGGGCCCTTGTAGGAGTCCCTTTTCCTATTTGATTCCTGTTAAGGACTGCCAGTATTTTTGATGATCTCTGTTTGTCCAATGTCTGACAACCTTCTTGGCAGCTCCTACTGAAATGCCACAGGCTGGTTCAGGTCCTATGAGCAGACATTGAGATCCCAATTTTCCCAGTCAGTTGGCAGTTTCATTACCCTCAATACACTCATGACCCAGCACCCATATCAAGTTGAACTTTCTCTTGTTTAGCCTGTTGCACAAGGGATTGATGGCAGCCCCAAACCAATTTTTAGTTGATCTGGTAGTTGTAAAGTGCTCTAATTGTGGCTTGACTGTGTAATAGAATACAGATATTTGTATTTTTATAGTCACTCTAGTTTCTCTACTGCTCATACCTTGATGGCATACCCTTCTGTCTGGAATACAATGATCTATTCCCCAAGGCTGCAGCTAAGGTTCTGCCTTGTACCATAACCATACATCCCAGCCCCAGTGCCTTTATTTGTCTTGGAACCATATGTATGCTAGAGTATTCTCCCTTTCCTATCGGGTTGAAACTGGTGGTTTCATTCACATGTCAGAGAATCTGATCTGGTAAGGTTTGTCATAGACATGTAGTGATATAATTTGATCAGTCCCCATGTGTAGGATTGGTTCTTCTTTCCTACCCTGAGTCATGTATGCATGTCCAAAACCTTCAGAGTTTTAGTTTCCATTTGTCATTGCAGTAGAATCTGTAAATTCCTGATCTGGCCTCAACCTCCAACTGCAAGTGCAGAAAGGGGGAGTCCAGGGAAGACTTCAATTGCAGCCATTGAAACTGTCCTCATTGCTGCAGTAATGCCCAAGCAGGCCATCCTTTGCAATTTGCTAAGTTCAGCTCCGTTTGTTCAGAATTTGATCCTAGGCCACCACGCAGTGGCAGCATAGCTAACTATGGATCTTGCAGGCATGGTGTAAATCCAGTGTTCCCCCATTTTTCTCAGCCCCTGAGTTCTTCCAAACGTTCCTCTGCAGGTCCAAAAGACCATGTAGGCCTTATTGTTTACCCTATCCAGCTGATTTGTTCATGTCAGTCCCTTGTTTAATGTTAGTCCGAGGTACTCACCTTACTGCTTGCTGCAAGTTCAGTACACTGGCTTTGTTCTGTTGTCCAGCTTACCATTTGGGTATCTGTATCAAATGAAGACAAGAATCACCTCTCCTGGACTTGTGCATGGTTTGCATCAGTCTGTACAAGTAAATACAACATGCACATGAAAATATTATGTTTTTGCATAATGTTATTTGTATGGCTGGTGGCTAGGAGGAAGAAAGTACATATACCCAGTAGCAGCTCGGTGTCATGACAAGTTCGAGATTATTGACAAACCATACCATTTCTCTTTCTTGAATTTCAACCACAGACAACATAATACCTTATCCCTGTAAAGCACTGTTGTTACTATATATGTTGCATGAGCTTTAGTGTTCATAAACATGTATTTTGACCACAGAATGTATTTATGGGTTTCATATGATTCTCACAATAAGCAACTATTATTTCCCTGAACACCATTATCTGATTGGTCTTTGTGATGGAGACAGATGGTATTTTCTGTGAAATATGAGCATAATTTTTATATATTGTTTAGATGAACTTCAGGATTCCAAGAGGCTTTTATAATTTCTCCCACAGTCATATCATACACATCCATCCCAGTATCCAACATCAGTTATGCCAGGCCCTGTGGCAAACATGAGGGATGAAACTATGCAAACAGTTGAGCAGATTCATTCCCATAACTTTTGCTTTGCTGCAATTCAATTTTATGTTATTCTTCTGTTCTTAGAGGCCTCTAATCAGGAGCTCATCTGTACAAGGACCGAATATGCTTTATCCACAAAATTCAGTGGTGGGTTGGCCTCAAGCCTGGATGAGTATGCAAGATCCACTGGGAGCCCTCACCAGGCAGTCATCAACCAGCTATCCTCCTCTGTCTGCTGTCACCTCTTTACCAGTAAGTTTTTGTATATGGAATAAATTGTAGTATTTTGATAAGTATTAATTCTGTCATATGAAAGCCAGAAGAGACAGCCCATGCTAGGTGACAGCAACCTAAACATGTTTCCACAGCTGTAGAGGAATTGTTGGAGAATCAACATGCAATAACAGAAGACTGCTGGATGCAGTGTTTTCTATGAAGCCTTTGCGAGGCTATGTAACATTAGTTGAGTGAGGCAGTAAAATATGGTCATGAGTCACATGGGGCTTAGAGCAAAGAGTCGCTATTCTGGTGAGGACCAGCCGCAGTTTGACAGCCAACAGTCAACTCAGTCAGCGGAGTTAACGAGGATGTAACAAATATAGCACCTACATAGGAAGACTGACCTCTACCCTCATTGAAGAGGAGGCCCCACTTCTGAGTGTGTACATTTCTAGGAGAGCACAAAGATCTTTGTCATAAATCTTGATGTACATGAAGCCAAAAATAACTGTGCTGATGAGGGCCAGAAGCTATTTACCCAACCCAACTGACCATGAGTTAGTTGTGAAAAATTTTCCATCCAGCCAGGATGTGAGCATGGAAGCAGAGGAATACCCACTGTTGGGAGCTGCTGCCTAGCAATGACCAGTGAAGACTATAACAGATTGAGACTTAGCATGTGCTATAGTGATTTGTAAAGTGTGTAGATTAGTGAGAGTCTTATAATTGTTTGTGGTTCTGAGTTATAAGTGTTCACTAAATCCAGTTATCAATTCTACCCTGTTCCTGGTCCCTAACATGTGGCAGTGCTTTCAAATGAGCAGTAGTGGTGAAACTGCACTGACATGTGACGACTTTAAATAATAGAATATTTGTGTCTTACTTAGATTTTACATACCAAAGTGCCACATGGAAAAAGATTTCCACTTGCATGAGGCAAGAATTCCATATATTAACCTTTAAACGCCAGACTTTTGAAATAGTGGTAGCTTGAGCTGGCCAGAATTTATTTAAATGCCTGGTGCTGGTGCGTGTTTAAATGTGTGTTGCTGCTCTGCTGCACTCTTCAGATTTTCGAATCTTTTAACTAAAGGACAGAAAAATGGAAGCATGGCTATTCAAGAAAAGGCTAGAGGGAACAATTCGATGGTTCCTACTTTGGTGCTAAGGCCTTCCATTGCAGCTGCAAGAGATTATTGCCCTTTCTCTGGTCTCAGGCAGACAGTTGCATCATGGCTGAGATACTGGGTGCACTCTGTTTTCTGTGCGTTCATAGTGAAATTGAATATTGTAGTTTCATTTGTAATAGAATGGCAATGAAACGTCATTTGGAGAATGACATCCTGCTCTTTCATCTACAATATTTCAAATAGAAGAGGCCAATCAACATCAATGGCCAACCCTTTCAGACAAGAGAATGAACTGCTGAGTTTGTTCTGCACTTGGGGAGAGGAGAAGTATTCACACAAAGTGCAAGGAATGTGACGTGGGTCTGTGCATTCTCAGGTGCTTCAAGAAGTTCCACACAAAGGCGATATTTAGCTCGATGGTGTGGGGGGGGGGTGAAGCCTGTATATACATCAAGCAGATAAAAAAGATATGTACACTGAATTTTGCTCTATATTATTTAACACATTTTTTATACATGATTGCAGAATCTGCAATAAAGATACTGGTTCATGGGTGAGTTTGGCCATAACTCATACATATTTGATCAAATCCTTACGTGACTCAGCCTGCCTGTATTAAGAAATGTTTATTTTACTAAGTGTGAATATATATTGAAATATGGTATTATTTTGTGGGGTGGCAGGCTTAAGGACTCTGAAACTATTTAAAATACAGAAAAAGTGTCTAAGAGTGATTAAAGGTGTTAATAATAGAGTATCCTGTAGAAATATGTTTGGTGAATTTAAGATTTTAACTGTTACCTCATTATATATATTTGAGATTTTATGTTTTATAATAAAGAATAATATCTATAGAACTCAGCATTCTGACATTCACAGCTACAGTACCATACATAAACATAATTTGTATGTCCAATTTTGAAATACCGATCATTGCAAAAAAAAAGTGTAATCAGTATGGGAACTAAAATATTTAATGGCCTTTCCCTTGAATTGAAAAGCGTTGAAAATGTTAATGTTTTTAAGAGCATACTCATAAATTATTTGCTGTGCAGCGCTTTCTATTCTTTTTTAGAGTTTTTCAATTAATGTTGATTGATGATTGTCTTTTGGTTTGCAATTTTTAATATTGTGTTTACGTGTTTTATATTACTTACATTTTTCTTTTGGTCTTATGCATCTTTTATGGTTATGTACCTTATTGTTATATTTCATGATAGATCATTGTGTAATTTTACGTGACTTTGACATGTGATGTATTCGCTGTTAATTTTTGACATGTCCAATTATATTCACTTCAGTTATGGATGAAAATAAAAGTTAAAGTTGAAGTTATACATAGTTGTTCACATAGGTATCACTTTAATTCTTGTAATAGGGTTTTAGTCAGGTCTGTCTGCTAGTTACTATATTTATAAATAAGTATTTAGGATTGTGCATACACTTCTACTAGTGGAGTGTGTGCGCGGTTTTGCTAGTGGAGTTTAAATGCCCAACTGCACAAATCGGTGTACTTCGGCCACTTCAAACATACTCATCACTGTACCAATCGGTGCACTTTGCGACATTAAAGGTTAAAGGTTAATTCTTTCATTTATTGGGTTACAACCTTTGGTTACTGATCAGTCAGTGTTTCTTTCATCCATCTCTTATAATAGTATATTATGGTGTTCTAGCACTTTTTAATATCCCATGCAGCAAAATCTGAAAGGTTTGGTTCCCTTTAGGTACTGACATATATTGTCATAAATTCATACTGTTATTTCCAGCCTGATATTCTGGAAACAAAATTGTCCAGCCTCAATGTGGATGGTGTCTGTGAGCTTCTTACAAAAATTGATGATATGAGTTCGTCCTTCTTGCCAAGCTACACAAGTGTTATACGAGAAAACAACATCAATGGTCGAGTATTACTACATTGTGACTTGGATGAACTTAAGAGAGTACGTATATTTGTTAATTTACTTGATTAATGTAACACTATACTCATGCATAAATGATAAATTATATTAACTTTTCCACTTTATTTCACATTAATTAAAAGGAAAATAGGGTTAAAAACTTCTTCTTGGAATTCTCTTTCTATGATGCTGTAATAAATAACAGAGTAAAATGTTCTATAGGTTCTGCAAATGAACTTTGGTGACTGGGAGTTATTCCGCATGCTGATCGTGTCTCTGAGGGAGCAGGAACTTGCTGTGATCACCCACCAGGAGGAATTAAGTTCAAAAAATGTCCGATTTGCTGACCCATCTCTTCGAATGACATCACAAGCACCAGAGAGGAAGGGTAACCATGAAGTCCAGTAATAATTATATCATTTTCATAAATAAGGCGGTTTAGGATGCTGATTTAAAGTGTTATTGTTAAGACTAGCCACTGCCTGTGGACAACATTTGTGTTGTTACATGTACACTGAAGAACACTGTCTGTGAGGGAGTTTTTAGCTAGTAAACAAACAACTGTGCTAGAACACCCCCACTATTACCAGATGTAGCCCCCACTGACTTTTTTCTGTTCCCAGAGATAAAGGAAATATTGAAAGGAAGGCATTTTGATGACACTGATGACATCAGGAGTAATATGACGCCAGCTCTGAAGTCCATTCCACAAAACCAGTTCCAAAATATTTTGATGGGGGGGGGACTTGGTGCTGGCATAAGTGCATATCTTCCCAAGGGGAGTACTTTGAAGGCGACCACAGTGAAATTCAGCAGTGAGATATGTAGCAGTTTTACTGCAATGAGTTTGTGTATTTTATTGTCAGACTACATATACAGGGACAGATTTGTTTATCCATCCACATGATTCAACCAATGGACATTGTTGTCAACCTGGATGAGAATAGCAAAGTATATGTTGGACATTCTCTTTTTCCTTGCACAGTCATAGATAATGAAATTTCCTGCTGTAGTTTAATGAGCAAAATTGGATAAGAACAATATTATATGTTCATATGAATGTGGAGACAGCAGGTGCTTCCATGATATTGGTAACTATCTACCAGACTATATGGCATCCCATCCTAGAGGACTGCAGTCTGAGAGTTGTTTAGTGATAACAGTTGGGTAACCAGAACATTTATATTAGTTGGTTGTGGGTTTGTTACAGAGAAAAATGCAGTTCTTTTGGTTGAAATGGTACATGTAAAGGCCTTAAGGACAGAATAGAAACTGATGAAACATTCAAGAGTAAGTGTTTGGGTGCCAGTAAAAATGTGCTGGATGAGGAAGAAATCTTCAAGAGGCTGTCACTCAGAATAGGACTGACTCAACTGGGAATTAGGAAAACTGGTAGCTCTCTAAGTAATGTGATGGTATGATAGGGAACTGTATGCATATCTAGAACTGTTCTTCATATTGTCACGTATTGGGCGTATATCGCGACAAATAACTTCTCGATGTATTTGATGTAGCGAATTTTATTTCACATCCGCTCTCACAATCACCCAAATTACAGATTTACGATTACTGCTATCTGCAGTATCACAATTAGTACACTCCAAATGCCACAAGACAACTGACTGGTTGCTGGCTAACTCGGAACTAACTCGGAGGTAGCTCGAGGACTGACTCGTAGGTAGCTCCAGGACTGACTGACTCAGTACAACTGACTGCGAATAGCCTTCGCTGCTCCTTATGTAGCCTTGATCGGACAATATGGAAAACGGCCACGTAATAGGCACCCTTGTTGCCTGGCGCTGTGTTGCTAGTAACGCTAGCGGTAGTAACCGCTGTTACTACCGTAACAATCCTGTTGCGTCACCGTTACGTTACCGTGCGGAGGAGGGGGAGGGGAGCGCTGACTCACCCGCCGCGTCACCGCTGGCGGGGGAGGGGGGGAGTTCTCCCCTGCGCAACACGTCACAATATGAAAACATCTTATAATAAAACCTACTCAAATTTAGAAATTTGCTTTATTGCTTTTTTTAGTTCAGCAAGGCAGGAATAATGGAAAAGTGATAGTCTTAGAAGAATCTTTATGGAACTCATTCCACGCCATATTTTGTCTAGATATTATGCATATGTTGGAGATGAGGAACTGGTATTCTCATGGTACTTGATTCTTGGTTCTGTTGTTTCTGAAATACATTATTCACATTAAAAAATTTTCTCTTAATAGGTATGACTCCAAAAACCAGTGGACAGCATGAAAAAGAAAAGTCATCTCGTGGTGATGCTAGATCTACCAACAAGCAAACAGTAATGGAGAAGCAGGTAAGCACAACTCTGCAGTCTAATGTAATATTTATTATTAGTTCTTCCTTCTTATTGCAGTGTTTTCCAAATTATCTGTATGATTTTTGACCAATTTCTTTCTATTAATATTCTGATATATTAGTGAAAAATGCACTTTTTTTGTTGCAAATGTTATGAGCAGCACACAATCCAGTATGTTCACTGAAGACAATGTGTAAGGCTGATCATTTCTATGGCAAAGGCCTCAATTCCAGAAAGTGGATAAGCAAAATGCAAAGTGTAGACATTCTCCTATGCGTCCAGACAGCAGAGCCTCCTTGTTTTCATGTTAAAATTGGCATTTCTCTGGTTTAGCAATGATCTGTCAACCACACTCAAGTATGTATATACAGGGAGATCGAGAAGTCGCGCACATCACACTAAGCAATTATATTTTCCTGGTTTAATGCACAAACTACAAGACATACGGCACTTACTATTAATGTTTATAACCTTACATCTTAGAAATGCAAAATCAAATCATGTCTTTACAACATGTGCTCGAAATGGCTTCCCTGTTCAGCAATGCATGTGTGAGCTCTTTACCATGTTTGAGGCCACTTTGTGGAGCACCTGTAAACTGATGCTGTTAATTGCCATCATAATGTTCCACTTGAGGTCATCCAGTGTATGCAAATTGTTTTTATAGACAAGTCCTTTGAGTTACCCCCAAAGGAAAAATCTGTGGGTGACAAATCGTTTTGAAATGAGACAGTCACCAAAAAACACACAAGAACTGCATGGTTTCATTAGATGTGTGACATGTGGCACCATCTTGCTGCAACCAACACTCACCTTCATCAACTTCAGGAAGCACAATAAACTATGTAATGATGTCTTGATACACTGGACTGTTCACTTTTGTTTCAAAGAAAATTTGGCCCACTATTCAACAACATGATACAGCACACTGTGGATTTTCAGATGACCAAATACTATTGTTTTGACTGTTCACATAGCCACTAAGGTGGAAACCACTCTTCATCAGTGAAGAAAACCCGATCAAACTCTTCAATTCCATGGTTGCCAACAGTGTTCCACAATGAAAACTCCCTATTCTTGGGAGAACAACATGTCTGTGATGCAGTGAACAAAGCTATACTGCATGCGTCGTATGACCAATACATGACAAATGGCGTTTCTACTTGTTGTTAGTACTCCTACAGTACCATCTAGCCATAGGAGATATAATTATATTAACTGCAATACAATTTGTAACAACTTTAAGTTTGATGTACGTGACTTTTCAGTCTCCTGTATATTGACTTTTGTTCTGTTTAAGTTTGCTGTGTAATGCAAATTCCTCCTGCAAGGCACCACCAACACAGTCTTCTTCTGTCAAATCTATTCCATCTCTTTGTTTTTACTTACCTTGAAGCAGAAACTTGACAGGATCCTTTATGATCTTATGTTTGCATTCATGACTGAGAAAGTTCATCATATTGCTCATTTGGTTCTTGAACAGGCTTAATAAATACACCACTGCAAAATTTATATGGATTTTATGGTAAAATGAGGTCAGTGTTTTCCAGGAATCTAGGTGACCTTCATTGTGACAGCATTAAGACAATGCTTTCTCTGTTATTTCTGCATTATGTTCCATTACTTGTAGCTGATGTTGAATATTTGTTTCCTTTCTCAGTGAGATGAATATTCATGTCATTGATAACTACTGTTTTCTCCTGGAAATATATTCAGTATTGTTGACTTGGCCCAGGCTGGTAGGGAGAGGTTATGTTCAACCACAGATCATGGATTTTGTTCTAAAACATTACAAGATATTTATGCAAGAATATTATTTTCTGAAAAATTTATTTATTTATTATTTATTTATTCACTTCACATCCATGGATCATTATACATGACATAGGACAAGTCAAAACACTCTATAATCCAATACAACGATACAATAAGACAATACAATGATACATTAATAGAATAATAAGAAGAACAATATAATTTTATACTAATATAATAATTAAATGATGAGCACTATATTTATCAGTCACAACACATCAAATTTGAAAATAGATTAACAACATGTTTCGGCTATTTAGCCTATTGTAATCTTCCACTTGTGTGACAAATTTGGGCAGATCCATGATTATCATTGTTTTTCTCTTACCAGATGTGATATGTGTCAAATCTCTGCTTAAAGATTTGCTGTGACTGGAGGCAAGTATGACAAACAGTTCATGAACTCCAGCTGTCTTAACTTTCAAGAGTGGAATAAAGGCCTCGAGGATGTTCTGAGTACAGAGTAATATATGATTACCATTGTTGATAATTGTGCAGTACAAATGTTCTTTGTTTTGAGGAGGATGGCGCAGACAGTCCTTCAGGGCGGGATAATAATCAGAAGGCACATCAAAAAAAATATTTATCAAAAACTTAGAGTAAACTGAAGAATGCATTATATATGAGACAAACTCCGTCTTAAGTGCAACAATTTAATTGTAGTTCTTTCTTCTTCCCTTCCTCCACACTACATGTTTCGGCCCTAAATGGCCATCATCAGGTGTGTATTCTTACGTAGCTGCTACACTGCCCATTGTTTAAAATTTAAAATCACCAGTCTTTCCAATTGTATGTATGTATAAAATCTTTGTTAACCTAAACACGTCAATTTGATTTCTAAAATTGGCACTTTTTCTTTTTCAACTTCAATTCAAATTAAAATGTCTATAAATTTTCTGTTCTTTTTCTTTTTCCAAATTTTAAAAATTAAAATTTTCTCGGGATA